AGTGACAGTGAGGACAGTAGTGCTGAGTACTCACTGCCATTCTACACTGTCCAGTGTGCTTGTCTTCCTCAAGGAGTACTTTGCCTCTCCCTCACCCCGTGTGGTGGCATACTGTCATCCTACCAGCTCCTGAGGCTGAGGCAGTGGGATCATGAGTTCAAATCCAGCCTAAACAACTTAGTGAAGCCCTAAGCAACTTGGAGAGAACCTGTCTCTAAATAAAATATAAAAAAGGGCTGGGGAGGGGCTAGAGTTGTGGCTCAGTGGTAGAGTGCTCGCCTAGCATGCATGAGGCACTGGATTTGATCCTCAGCACCACATAAAAATAAAATATAGTGTCCACCTAAAACTAAAACTAAAGAAAAAAAAAAAGCTAGGGAATGTGGCTCAGTGGTTAAATGCCCCTGGAGGGGAGGCTGTAGTTGAAGTTATAGAGCAGACTCTAGAGAGTCAGAGTCAGGTACTTTCTGCAAGATGTGTTAGGGTTGGTGCTGGTGACTTGTTATAACTGGTGTAGTGTAACCCTCCTAGAAGGTTTCTTGAGGTTTCTTTAATCATTCTGCCCACCCCTACACCTACCTTGGTCACATACACAAGACAGCTGGGAGGAGGAAAAACGCTTTGCCTCTTTTCTAGGAGTTTTACCAGCCACCACCCTTATCCCCATGTCTGCATTTTCACTTAACCTGTATGGGAAGAGAAGTTAACAGATGTGATTGGAGCGTAGTGATTGGAGCATGGAGCAGCTATGATCCCCTGGAGGCTATTACATGTGTCCCTCAGTCCTCAGAGCTAGCACTTTATCCTCTATTTTTAGTCTGTAGTTTGGACAGTGAAGTGTCAGCAGCAGCCCACCTTTGAAGCATTTCTAATTGGAATAAATGTGGCTCTCTTACTGCTGATTTTAGTCCCTGTGCAGACTTCCTTTAAAGTGAAGTCAGGACTTTTATTTAATAAACCTTGGTTTTTCTTATCAGGACCATACTAAGTGTGCATATTTAAATAAAAAGAGTCAGTGTATGTCTTCAGACAGCTATTTATTTGTAAATCTAGGACTCTGCTTCCTAACGAGAAAGAAGTGACACCTGAGTGGCTGTGCTAGGTCATCCATGCAATCTGTCTTCCTTCTCCATGATGGTCGATATTGCTTACAGAGTGGTCTTAGGGATCAGGCGCCTATGTTCTGCCTCAGGAATATTGGCCCAAGAGCTGGTCTTTGCCTGAGCTTTCAGCTTTTACTGTGTTGAGATACTGTGTTTTCCTGAAGGAAGAGATGAGTGTGCAGAATTCCAAAGTCCATAGTTCTAATCTTTGATGTCTATGAAAAGGAATCTTTTTCTTTCTTTTTTCTCTTTTTCTTCCTTCCTTCCTTTCTTCCTTCCTTCCTTCCTTTCTTTCGTATTAACCACTGAGCCACATCCTGAGCTCTTTTTAATATTTTATTTAGAGACAGGATCTCACTGAGTTGCTTAGGGCCTTGCTAAATTGCTGAGGCTGGCTTTGAATGCGTGATCCTCCTTCCTCAGCCTCCTGAGCTGCTGGGATTACAGGCATGTGCCACCATGCCCAGCTGAAAAGGAACCCCTTTCTGAATGCCTTTGTTTAAAAATTGTTTCCTAAATTGCCATGGGAATCCATGTGGGACCTCCAAGGCATTAGGGTAAGAGCTGTAGCAAATCCTGAAGCACTTGTGTTGGTAGAGGACTAGTTCCCTTTTATGTGAGGAAAGATAAAACTTCATTCTGAATTGTAGTGACACAGTGATTAAAACYTGAACCCTTAGCCAGGTGTGGTGCATTATGCCTATAATCTAGCTTTTTGAGAGGCTAAGGTAGGAGGATCTCAAGTTGGAGGCCAGTCAGGGCAACCTAACGGGACCCTGTCTCAAAATAAAGGGCTGAGAATGTAGTTAGTGGTAGAGTGCTTGCCTACCATGCRCAAGACCCTGGGTTCAGTCTCCAGTACTCAGGGTAGGACCCAGACCCTTAATCTGTGGTCTCCAAATTTTTCTTTTTTATCTTATGGATTTGCCATCAAAGTTTTAGGTATGTTTCAGTGATGAGTTTGTTCCCTGAAAGAGTTGGCCATATTGGCCAGTACAAGCCTCATCACCTGGAATTTAGTCCCTTTGATTCACTGTAATCTGATGACTATTAGGGGTTCTCTATATCTCTCAATGTGCCACGGTAAAACCTGCAAGGGGCTTCCTGTGCTGCCTTGGGTGGAATCATTTGCCATTTTCACAAGCGGGTAAGGAGATGTAGCTATTTCTTCTTGGCCCCAAGTACTACTCTTGGGGAGTCACAGAGTCTCTGACCAGCTCTCTTTAGGCATCAGATTCTACATCCAGTAACYTACAGTAAGTGTCACATGGACGTTTCACATGCACTGCAGCACAGCCAAGACTGAACTCTTCCCTTTGCTTCCTAAACTGTGCCTTCTGCTGCACTCCTGATCCTTTGCTCAGACACCAAGCAAAGAACTGGAGTGCTGCCCTTAATCTTTCCTCTTACCCCTTAGATCACCTCCAGCCTGTCATTGGTGCTACTGACATCTCCCAATTTTACCCCTTTCAGGCACAGGGTGTAGAAAGGGGGTAGAAACAGACAGCTCTTACCAGAATGCCTTGGAGGTCTCACATGGATTCACATGGCAACTCAGGACACACTGTCACTGACCATTTTAGTCTACTTTGACCCTCCTCTAGTTTAACTCATACTTCTTTCTAAACACAAATCAGATCACTTCTCTTTTCTGTTACCATTACTTCTTCTCCATTACTTCTCAGGAAAGCCCAGTCCTCAAGCCCAGTCTTCAATAGAACTCGTGATGCCTTTCATAATTTGGTTCCTCTTCCAAAATCTTCAGCCCCCAACCTTGGCTTTGTCCCACTAAACTGCCCATTACCAGGCTTATTCTGGGATTCTGGGCCTTAGAATGTGTTATTCTCTGCCTAAGTCACCATTCCCACCTGTGCTTACTTGACTCATTTTGATTCAAAATTCTGAGTGGGGGTGGGGTCACCTCCTTCTAAAGGCTTCCCTAATCCCTGTCTTGCTCTCTATGTGTCTGTTGTTTCTCAAGCTTAATATCATGCTTTATTGAAATTATCTGTTTTTATGTTTTTTCTTTACTTAGACTATGAGTTTGATGACCATGTCTTACTTGACTTTTTTTTTTTTTTGATGAGTGTTAAAATATAGCCTACGTTGGATCTTTGTTTATTCATTTCTGTATTCCTAACATTTTATAGATGTTCAGTAAATGTTTGATATGAATTGACCATTTCACTCCCAATTCTGTATAGCCATAATTAGGAAACTCTTAGCTCTTTTCAAACCACRGGGCCCTCAGATAGACCTAGAGAAGGGCAGTCTAGGTAGAAAGGTGGAGACTTCTGGAAAGCAGTAACTTCATTATTTTTACAAGGTATCAAGGAAACATGGTATCCTGATCTACAGCTGAAATCACATCTGGATCAATGTGCTGATGTTCTTTCTGAGATCAAGGCCCTCCCTGTCCCTGTGTGTTTTTTTGGTGGCACTGGAGACTAAACTCAGGGATGCTTTACCACTGAGCTACATCTCCAGCCCTTTTAATTAATTTATTTATTTTTAAATTTAAATTTTATTTTATTTAAAAAATATTTTCTAGTTGTTGTTGTACCTTTATTTATATTTATTTATATATGGTGCTGAGGATCGAATCTAGTGCCTCACACATGCTAGGCAAGCGCTCTGCCACTGAGCCACACAACCTCAGCCCCCCATTTTTATTTTTTGAGACAAGTTCCTGCTAAGTTAGCAAGGCTAGCCTCAAACTTGTGATCCTACTGCCTCAGCCTTACAAGTTGCTGGATTTATGTGTGTGTAGCCAGACTAGTTTTGCAACTACCTGGTGGTACTGTGCTGAGGTTTGTGGTTCTAAGTTTGCTGGGATGGGTTCTAGTCAGCTTTGGGCCTCATGTGGATTTTAGCCATGTAGTAAGCTGGGGAAGTGAGAGACCCTAGGACAGAGTATTCAACTGCCTGAGAGAAGTTTGTACATTAGCAAAACTGTGGAAATCATCCAGGAAAGAGTGAGGCTAGGGCAGAGGCCTAGGGAAGTGGTTTGTTGTTTGTTGTGGGGGAAAATCAACCCTTGCAGGAGACCTTGAGGGCTGGAAACACTGTCCAGGAGGGAGACCTTGGAGAAAGAGCTTTCTGAGCCCTGGTGGCTGAAAACCCCTGTTTCAGAAAAGTTGAGTTGGAATAATAAGAGGAGTGATTTTAACATTTAAGAAATGGGACTTCAACAAGAAAGGACCCAGGCAGAGTAGAGAGGAGGGTGGGGCTGTGACAGCTGATCCTATTGCATACTCCTACCCATTCTGAGGCTTAAAGAATAGCATAAGACTGAGACCCAAGGAGACTAGGTCAAGGCTATGGAGTAAGACCCAGTCTTTCATCTAGACTCTACACTGAGCCTTCTACTCCAAGTGTTCAGGGGCCGAAACCATCTTCCCTTCCAGGGAAACATTAGAGTCAGATTTTCTTTTCTATATTTAACCCAGAGATGCTTTACCACTGAGTCACATGTCCATCCCTTTAAAAAAAAAAGTTTTGTTTTTTTAAAAATTTTTTTAGTTGTGGACAGATATAACACCTGTATTTTATTTATTTATTTATTTAATATGGGTGCTGAGGATCAAACCCAGTGCCTCACATGTGCTAGRCAAGTGTCCTACCACTGAGCCACAACCCCAGTGCACATCTCCATCCTCTTTTTTAAATTTTGAGACAGGGTCTTGCTGAGTTGCTGTGGCTAGCCTTGAACATGCAATACCTCTGCCTCAGACCCTGGAGTTGCTGCGTTTATAGGTATGCACTACTGTGCCTGGCTTAGGTTTTTTTCAGTCTTAATCAGACTACATGTATCAAGGGTTGGGGGCGGGAAGATGGCAGCATCCTTTCAGAGATGTCTCTGGTAATGCTAATTTGCCCTCTCTTCTATCTGCGTAGGTGTAGACGGGGCACTGCCTGCAGAGCAGGTCCTGCCAGCCTCGCTGGAGAGGATGCCCCCGAGTCCGTGATGGGCTGTGGGACAAGCAAGGTTCTTCCTGAGCCGCCCAAGGATGTCCAGCTGGATCTGGTCAAGAAGGTGGAGCCCTTCAGTGGCACTAAGAGTGATATATACAAACATTTCATCACAGAGGTGGACAGTGTTGGCCCTCTCAAAGCTGGGTTCCCAGCTGCTAATCAGTATGCAAACTCCTGTTCTGGTGCCCCCACTACTGGCCACACAGAGCCTCCCTCAGAACCACCACGCAGGGCCAGGGTGGCAAAGTACAGGGCCAAGTTTGACCCACGTGTTACAGCTAAGTACGACATCAAAGCCCTCATTGGCCGAGGCAGCTTTAGCCGAGTGGTACGTGTGGAGCACCGGGCAACCCGGCAACCATATGCCATCAAGATGATAGAGACCAAGTACCGAGAAGGGCGGGAGGTGTGTGAATCAGAGCTGCGTGTGCTGCGCCGGGTGCGCCATGCCAACATCATTCAGCTGGTGGAGGTGTTTGAGACGCAAGAGCGAGTGTACATGGTAATGGAGCTGGCCACCGGTGGTGAGCTGTTCGACCGCATCATTGCCAAGGGTTCCTTCACTGAGCGGGATGCTACGAGGGTGCTGCAGATGGTGCTGGATGGTGTTCGATACCTGCATGCCCTGGGCATCACACACCGAGACCTCAAGCCTGAGAATTTGCTCTACTACCATCCAGGCACTGATTCCAAGATCATCATCACTGACTTTGGCCTGGCCAGTGCCCGMAAGAAGGGCGATGACTGCCTGATGAAGACCACCTGTGGCACGCCTGAGTACATTGCTCCTGAGGTCCTCGTCCGCAAGCCATACACCAACTCTGTGGACATGTGGGCACTGGGTGTCATTGCCTACATCCTGCTCAGTGGTACCATGCCCTTTGAGGATGACAACCGCACCCGGCTATACCGGCAGATCCTCAGGGGCAAGTACAGTTATTTGGGGGAGGTGAGTCTGTCTTGCCCCTGTCTGAGGGATGTTGAGGAGGTCCTTGATGGGGGATATAACCTTCTCAGTCTAAAGACCCTTGTTCAGGAGACACATGCAAGTAATGTAAAAATAACAAGGTGAGATTAGCAGAATGTCTTAGTTTGGGTTCCCCAAAAGTGAGCCCAGAGGCAAGGACTTGGGAGAAGATAATTTATGTGGGAGGTGATTCCAGTCACCACAAATAAAGGAATGGGGGAACTAAGGCAAGAAAGAGAGAAAACCAATAATGAGTACAGTAAGAAATGGGCTGCTGAAACTCAGTCCCATTAGGGACTTTGTAAATATCATGTAAACATGCTTTATAATTGTACTGCTGAGCCAGGTGCAGTAGTCCCAGTGATTGAGGAAGCTGAGACAGGAGAATCAAAAGTTCCAGGACAGCCTGGCAACATAGCGAGACCTTGTTTTTAAAAGAAAAGGACTGGGGGCTAGGGTTGTGGCTCAGTGGTAGAGCACTTGCCTAGCATGTGTGAGGCACTAGGTTCAATTCTCAGCACCACATTAAAAAAATAAATAAATAAGCAAATAAAATAAAGGCATTGTGTCCATCTATAACTAATAAAAATATTTTAAAAAAAAGAAAAGGACTGGGGATGTAGTTTATTGGTAAAGCACCCCTGAGTTCAATCCTGGTACCACAAAAATAAATGAATAAATTAATTTTAAAAAATAAATTTAAGGGGCTGTAGCTCAGCGGTAGAGCACTCGCCTAGCATGGGTGAGGCCCTGGGTTTGATCCGCAGCACCACATAAAAATAAATAAATGAAGATATTGTGCCTAACTACAACTAAAACAAATAAATAAAAAATTTAAAAAATAAATTTAAAAAGGTCTGGGGATGTAGCTCAGTGGTACAGCACCCCTGAGTTCAATCTCCAGTACCACCAAAACAAAACAAACTGTTAAAGGGTACTAAGTTAATATATATATATATAAAGGTATTGTGTCATATATATGTATATGACACAATACCTTTATTTATTTATTTATTTTTATGTGGTGCTGAGGATCGAACCCAGCGCCTTACATGTGCTAGATGAGCGCTCTACCGCTGAGCCATAACCCCAGCCCTGTTTTTTGTTTTTAAATGCACTGATTTTGTACATTATTGGTTGAGCATTTCTTGGGAGCATTAAATCTCTGGTGCTTCTGGATTGTCCTGAATGCCAACTAGTGCTGGCATTCAGAGAAGCAGAGAGATACAGCCCCTGGCAGTGGGAAGCTGTGACAGTGCATGGCAACTGCATGTGGAATCAGAAGTACCCATCAGAGTGGCCCAATCCTGCAGATATAAACTGATGGTCATGAGCTCCATGAGGCTCCAGGCAAGTTAGAAAGAACATGTCCCATCTTAGGGAACATTTGCTTCTCTTTGCAGTTTTGTCAGGAAATAAAGAGGGTCCCATGTATCCAAATCTTCTTCTTATTGAAAGATAAACTAGATAGTCTGAGTTTAAGATTTTGGAATCCAGCTGGGTGCGGTGGCAAGCCTGCAATCCAAGTGGCTTGGGAGGCTAAGACAGGAAGATCGTGAGTTCAAAGCCAGCCTCAGTGAAAGCGAGGTGCTAAGCAACTCAGTGAGACCATGTCTCTAAATAAAATACAAAATAGGACTGGGGATGTGTGGGGATGTGTGGGGATGTGGCTTAGTGGTCCAGTGCTCCAAGTTCAATCCCTAGTACAAAAAAAAAAAAAAAAAAGGACTGAGGTTGTAGCTCAGTGGTAGGGCGCTTGCCTCGCATGTGTGAGGCACTGGATTCAATCCGCAGCACCATATAAAACGGATAAATAAAGATTAAAAAAAAAAAGATTTTTGCAAATCCAGGTCACATATTAAATAGTATCTGTATGCCAGCAAACATTAACCTGTGGCCCATATTCAACCAGCAGGCCATCAGTTTGTGTTTTTGGATCCATTGATATTTCTCATATCTGCAAAAATATCAGGTTTCAGCACTGCTGGTTGCCAAAGAAAGSTATGGAGAAAGAGCTGGCGAATCCTTAGAAAGATACTAACTGGGTAGATGACAAAGCTGACTACAGGCAACTGTAAGCACCTTTTAGATAATGGTGTACTTAGGGAACCCATAAAGAAAAGAATTATGATGGCTTTGGTGAGCTGAGTTTTGTGCATCAACTGGACACTAAGGATACTGCCATGGCTATTCCCCACTGAGTGTTCCCCTTCAGGCCTGGGCCTGCCAAGATGCTGTCTGTGTCTTTTATGTAACCTGTAWGGATGGGAAGTAGCTTTGGGAGAAGCTTCCTTGTGCAGTCCAGCTTTCCTCATAAGGGTTTGGGTCAGGACCTCTTTCTTGCTTCCAAGAGCTAGCCTAGATCAGTGTTTCCTGCAGGAATCACCCAATAGCCCCATGTTACCAACTTAAGTATTTGAGATTCTTCATCACTTTCTGTCAGCTTCTAGATGTGGTTATGGACTTAGTTCCCTTCAGGGTTAGGTGGATCTCCAGGTTACAGGTCTCACAGATGGTACAAGTTAGAAAGGAAAGCCTTCCTCTTCATGCCAGCTATAGTGCAGACATAGTTCTAGAAGAGGGGTAGAGGCAGTAAGGCCAGTGGTAACTGTTTACACTACAACTGTGATCTATAGGCTCTGGAGTGAAGAAGTAGATCACTTGGTGCTTTCCACAGTGTGGTCAGGTCTGGCCCACTGTCATTCTCAGATGTTAAGTAGATGGGCATGTTTTGCAGAAAATTTGACTCTCATATACCTACTGTGCTGGGCAGTAAATGAGACCATACTGGTAATTAGCAAGAGCTTAGGGTGCTGGAGAATTGTAGCTTACTACTCAGTTAAAATCCAGGAGTGACTGAGCATATTGGCACATGCCTGTAATCCCAGTAGCTTGGGAGGCTGAGGCAGAATTGCAAGTTCAAAGCCAGCCTTAGCAACTTGGTGAAACTCTCAGCAACTTAGTGAGTCCCTATCTTAAAATAAAAAGGGCTGGGGATGTGGCTCAGTGGTTAAGCACCCCTGGGTTCAATCCCTGCCTGGTACCAAACAAACAAACAAAAAAGCCATGAGTGCCTCACAATGTACTGTCTCACTTGGGAACCATTCCAGTATAATTAGATTTGGTTCCCGGCCCAGTTCAAACTTTGGTTCTTCAGGGCAGGTATTGGCTTGGGGTATTTACAGAGGGGACTGGGAAGAAGCACAATTTTGGGATTATGCCTTAATGCGCACAGTTGTCTCCCCTCAGTAGTGCTAATATCCTAATGTTTACTTGGTCCTTAAATAGGATTGGTCATCAGGGTGGCCCAATCCTGCAGGTATATACCGATGGTCAGAGTCTCTACCAGTTTTCTGGGACAGAACTGTAGAAGTTTGGCAAGGTATCACCAGCAGGTACTTGAAGTTGGTTCTGCCTCTGCTTCTGAGGAAGACATTTGGCTGTGAAGTGAGTGACTGGAAGGGATGATTACAGTCATATCTATCCTCATCTCCATGTATAAAAGTGAAAAGAAACCAGGGCTCAGCCAAGGAGAGGTAGAGGCCAGAGCTTCTCACACTTTTTTTGATTTTGTTTTGTGGGGGTAGGAGGAGGTACTGGGGAAAGAACCCTTCAAACACTTCAGTGTCCATGCAAATCCCCTTAATTCTTGTTAAAAATGTAGGTTCTGATTCAGTAAGTCTGGGTGAGGCCTGAGAGTCTCCACTTCTGTCAAGCACCCTGCTGGTGTTGGTGCTGCTGGATTATAGACCATGCTTTGAGAAGCAAGTGTTTGGGCAGATGCCATAGAATGGGCTGGGTTGCCAGGCATAGTGGCACATGTCTACAATCCCAGCTACTCAGGAGGCTGAGGTGGGAGGATTACAAGTTCAAGGCCAGTCTCAGCAATTTCGTGAGGCCCTCAGCAATTTAGCAAGACCCTGTCTCAAAATAAAAATAAAAAAATAATAATAATAAAAAGTGCTGGAAATGTGGCTTAGTGGTAGAATGCCCCTGAGTTTAATACCCAGTACAGAGAAAGAACAGGGACTGGGTGGTCAGGAACAACTGTGGAGCAAGTGGAACATGAACTTTGGAGGGTGCACAAAAGTACAGGAGAGAGACAAGAGGAAACAGACTTGTGGGCAATGGCCTAAGAAGCAGGTTCATTTGGAGTCAGACAGAAGATACTGTAGGGGAACTCAGGAAGTTCAGCTGTCTGAGTAGGAGGCCCTGGAAAACCACCTGAGGTTGTAGTTAAAACTGAAATTTTAATATCCTTGAGTGCCTAAAGGTTGAGAGGCTGGTTGTATTCTAGAAGCTCTAATCTCTTGGAACTCTGCATGGTGCCAGGCTGGTCCTGGTAGCATTTGTCTGCCACCTGGAGCTTGGCTGACCCCGTGAACAGATTCTACCACTCTCTGTGAAGAGCTCTGGCTTTGGAGAGATTTCTGTGGGTGTTTCCAGGGGGAGGTGGCCTCATCAGTAAATCAGGTTCTCAGCACTGGAAATCAATCTGTCTTTTTGTCCTACTGGTCACACACCTGGGAAAAATGCAAGAGGCATGAAGACCCGTTCCCCATGGAGTTAGAGGTTGTCTGGGGAGAGAGAACTGGAATGGGAAACAGCCACAGGACAAGCCTCATTGGCAGGCACATGCCAGTACAGTCTTGGCCTAGAGCCACTGGATCTGGATAGTCTGGAACATGGACTGTGAGACTCAGGTCAAGTGACTGGGCCCTATTCCCTCACTCCAGTCATCTGTCTTATACTATGTGGTAGGGATTTGCCCTCATGAAGTCCTTCTAAGTGAGTAGGGCCCTGCCAGAGAAACCTGTCTGGTTGTTGAGGGGAGGTTGCAAGCAAAGGACTTCCCACTCTGAGCTCAGCAAGGTGTAGAAGGTTGTATTTCCCCACTAAGGAATAGGTTCTATAGAACTTAGTACCTTTGTAGGATACTTTTCCTGTCTCCTGCCCCTTTATGTTGGTTTCTTCTGTACATT